GGAGGAAGATCTGAAGAGGACCAATGATGGTAGGACACACACACACACACACACACACACACACACACACACACACACACTGAATACCTCAGTAACTCTGCATTTGAAGGTTGAAGCTGGATGAGTAGATTACTTGCCACAGTTATTTAGTGTTTTGACAGGTCAACAAAAACAGATAATTCATGAATAAATAAATACAGTAGACTTTTAGTTTAACTTTTAATAAACAAGAAAAGTAAAATGTGATATTTCAATTCAATGTTTTTTTTCCATAAAATGACATTCTGCTCAGTTTTTAAGATAAGCAGTTATTGTCGTTACACTGTCTCTCTTAGTGGTGTTACAAATGATGTATGTATTATTGTTTGAGTCCAACCCTTGTTTCTTATGTTAGAATGAGCTTTAACGTGTGTGTAATGCGTCCTCCAGGCCTGCGGCGGCTCCATCCAGACCTCAGTAGGTGCTATGACAGACGATGTCCTGGGACAGTGTGAGCTCTTCGAAGAGGTCCAGGTTGGAGGAGAGAGGTAAGACGAGATTAAGTATTTTGTCCGTCTTATTCAGAGAATGACGCCTTCAGAGTAAACTGTGCGTTATGACTCTCTACGACTGCTCACGGCCACCATGTCTGTGTCTGCAGGTATAACTTCTTTAAGGGCTGTCCGAAGGCGAAGACGTGCACCATCCTGCTGAGGGGCGGAGCAGAACAGTTCACAGAGGAGACGGAGCGATCGCTGCACGATGCCATCATGATCGTACGCAGAGCCATCAAGGTCAGTTAACACATGGAGTGAGTGTGTGTGTGTACAAGAAAGCTCATTACATATTGCTTTTAAGAATACACACTGTTATATATCTACAGCCCTTAGTGTTAATGTTGACCGGTTGAGTTGTTTTAAAGATTCAGGAGTTAGAAAAATCAGCTTTTCACGTCATTCACAAATTTATGAAACCAGTGAGATTCAAATTCAATTCAGATTTTGTTACAATTTGATTTTGTTTTACATCGTTCATCTATTCTATTATTTAAGTGTGAGTATTTATTGACGTAGCTAAACTGAGACATCGGCCAGTGATGCCCATTTAGGTATATGCATCTTGATTCCGTCGCCAGAATAACTGAACATAATCCAACATTTTCAACAATGCTACATGGGTGCAGAGAGAAATAAACTTACTGTCAGAGTTGTTGCCTTTCACCAGGCAGGGTTAGCGTTGGATGTCGATAACATTAATCTCAGTGCTCTTTTATTCTGTATGCAACTCCTGCAGTAGGATATTTTAAAAACATTTTATAGGGAAGTGGATAAATGGGAACTGGGAACCTAGCAGGAGAGGGCTGTGTCACATGACCACAAAACTACAATTACATTTTTTTACCCAAATCTGTTTAATATTTGAGGAATTTTAAATGAAATTTGGTTCAGACTTGTGGTTTTAAATCAACATAGTAATACATCAATTTTCTTTGAGACTCCAAATTAGTTGGTTGATCTGTACGTTATTTATTGGATCTTGAACCTCAATTCACTTTAATTTGTCAGCCCATCTCTGCACACTGAAAGCAATAAGCTGACTTTACTTAATCCATTTTCAGAACGACTCCATTGTAGCGGGCGGAGGAGCCATAGAGATGGAGCTGTCAAAGTACCTGCGGGATTACTCCAGGACCATCCCTGGGAAACAGCAGCTGCTGATCGGAGCATACGCCAAGGCCCTGGAGATCATCCCCAGACAGCTGTGTGACAACGCCGGCTTTGACGCCACCAACATCCTGAACAAACTGCGCGCCAAACACGCACAGGTAGGAAATGAAACACACATGCTCCCCTAACCCTATACCACACTTTGAATACAGCACTCGGCATTAGGGAACTGTAGTTTTAGAAGTGGGACAAGAAATGAGGTCAAATACTCAGTTTGACTCTGCTTTATCTGTCATCTCGCTGCAGGGTGGTATGTGGTACGGCGTGGACATCAACAACGAGGACATTGCAGACAACTTTGTCGCCTGCGTCTGGGAGCCGTCCATCGTGCGGATCAATGCTCTGACAGCGGCGTCAGAGGCAGCCTGCCTCATCCTGTCAGTCGATGAGACGATCAAGAACCCACGCAGCTCTGCAGATGGACCTCCAGGTGGCGCTGGCAGGGGCAGAGGCCGCGGGAGACCCCATGCTCACTAAGAGGAAGCAAGAACAAAACTGGCATTAAAATCCAAATGCAGGTTAAAGATTGAGTCTTCAGTACTGGTCGGGTTAGATTTAAACCCAAAGTTGTTAAATGTAGCTCAGCATGTTTGACCTGCATTTGGATTTGGATTCCAGATTAAATGAGGTGTTGTAACCAGTCAGACACGTTGCAAACAGCAGGCATAGTGAAACAAAATGAAAGGGGGAGAAGGTGAAGTTCATCTTGCAATTTCAAGACAGGTTCTTTAGACTTTGTCAAAGATGGCTGACATTTCTTGTGTTTTCTTTGTCACCTGTATTTTTTTTTTTCTTACTGAAGCTTTGACTCGTCAGTTTAACATTTCAAGCACTGTATCTTTCCACGTGTAGCCATTTTACTGAGAAGTGATATTGAAATACAAGCAGAATGAAAGCAGTTCCCCCTTTTGGTTTTGAAATAAACACACTCCTGCCCCCTTAAAGTCAGCTCTTCCTCTGACCTGAAGCTGTTCCATCATTTCTCATCTGGTTTTGTGACAAACTGATGTGTAACATGGAAAGTAAAGCACTGATAAGATGACGAGCAGTTCTGAACCATTCACTTGTTACGCTGTGTGAAACTATTTATTGGACCATTCTCATCAATAAATTCACAGCTGAAATCATTCTGTTGACTGTTCATATGTGTGTTATTTTAAATGGGGTCAAGGGACAGAAAAGATTGTTTGATCATCGTGTATCAATATATCAGTGGCAGAATTACTAGATTAAGTAAATCATATTGAAATAGGGAAAGTAAAACATGATATATCAGGGGAAGAAAGTGGTACAAGTGTTTTTTATTTTAATGTATGGTGGCCATGGATGATCAAAGTAAGATAATGTAAGATCTTTGTTATATCATCTTGCAACCTGCACAGGTTAAAAAAAAAAAGAATTGCCATAAACATGAATACAGTTTATTACAGCATAAAAAGACTAATGTGACAACATGATGTCTTTTTCTTTGGGTGCATGTCGTACTTGTGCCAACACCTCCACCTTTGAACTCACATTAATATATACAGTATGTATAGTTATGTAAAGAATACATTAGTAATTTACTGCATTTACTACGGTTGGATGACAAATTGAAGCTTTAATGTGGTGGTTCATTCTTGACCTTAGAAACAGACTGTAGTTAGACAAAAAAAATCTCGTGGTCCACGTGCTCTTTTTCCAGAGCTTTCAACTGCATTTAGCCTGTCTTCCTTAGTTGATGGACTTTACCCAGTTGCCATGGTAATAGCTCAGTTGTATTAAAGGTCCAGTGTGTAACATTTAGGAGGATACCTAAGTCACGTGGCAACGTCTAATAAAGACAACGGAGCAAACTATCTGCTGAGGAAGACTGAACGACATGGTTGAAAGCACTGGGAAAAGCTAGTAAGTGGACTTTGAGTTAAGATTTTTATATCAAAGAACAAAGCTTGGTTCCTGCTAAAAGTTGGTTTGAATTTCCCATTTTTGTACACACAAAGAATAAGATGGAAAATATACAGATAAAGCTCCTGATCTTGATTTGCAAAGACAAAAAAAAAAAAAACAATTGTCCTGAACTGTTAAACATTTCCGATACCAAACGCTACACCTGGATGTGAATAGGTGACATACTTTATAGGAAACATGTAAAATAATGCAACAATAATGTTGTGTTTTGATGCATCCGGAGAGCTTTTATCATCCAACATGATTCTCAGCTTCAGTCTTTCCACCACTGGGTAAGGCACAATCATGGTCACATTAGAAAAACAAAGCTGCAGTCCAGGTAGTTGTATCAATATCCCATATAGAGAATGGATAGAGAAATAGGATTTAAATGAGGTATCAGAGATATCTTTGTGTAATTCATTATATGACGCAGGAGTCTTCATATTTAACGATTAAAATGAGTGAGTTTTACTCTAGGTAGTATAATGCTTTATTTAGTCTCTAGGTAACGATCAAACTGGCAACAAAAGTTGAAACTCTTCAGGCAGGATGAATATTAGAAGGTGTCTGTTCATTGCAGCAGGGATGTGTACTCAGAGTTCATACAAGTGCTTCCCTGCATATTTTTCTAAGCAGGAAATGCCTATGACAGCAACATAGGGTGTGACATGATGAACTCCCCGCTGAAGCCAGAAGGCAGACAAATGAATGTCTTCTTTTCTGTAAAGAGAGGGCACCCTGCCCTTCAGTCGAGGACATACTGATCATTTCTTGAGATGAGTATGAACTTGTGAAGGCTCGAAATGTTGGAAAATGTTCCTCTTGTGTTGTTTTTTTGTGTAAATGTAAAGCCTAAATGTCTGAATTACAGGATGTGAGTTCCTGTTCTTTCCATAAAAAACATGTCGCCCACTCCCAAAGTACCGCTTTTTCTATAATTATCATCCTTAGAATCAGTTATTTCTGTGTTTTCCATTCCTCGTCTCCACTTCCTGCTCCTCCTCAGTTAGACAGGAAGTCTATGGAAGCCCGGACGGAGCGGTTAGACATGATGTCAACGGCTGTGACTTTGATCTCCGTGTCTCCGAACTGCATGGTCGCTCTGATCTCTCTCCTCTCTGGGCCTCCTGCTCCTCCTCCTGCTCCTCCCACTGCTCCCGGTAGCGGTAACGGTTCCGGTAGGTCCAAAGTTATCGTCCCGCACTTCCTGACTCCCGGGTCGGAGATGTACGTGACGTCGTCCGTCGTGCTGCAGTAGATGTTGATTATGATCTTCCGCTGGCCCAGACGAGCGGGCGTGTAGCTCCTTCTCACGACCTCACCCAGAGCCACCGACTGGTCAACAGAGACGAAGCGGTCGAGGATGTCGGTGCACCACTCGCGGCCTTCCTTGATGAGGAGTTTGTCTCGTGGGTGGCGCCCCTCCACGAACCGGTTCAAGACGCCAACACCATAGGTCAGCGGGCATCGACGCACTCTGACCTGTGAGAGAGAGAGGCCGTTAGAACACGTGTGAAAGAATACTCCAGGACTAACAGGTAATCCTGAGAACTCACCACAGTGGGATCCAACCCGAACAGCACGGCACCCTTCAGTATGGTCAGCCCAACGTCATGGGGGATGATGATGCGACACGTCCGCCCCAGTGATCTCTGGACCGCTTTCTGTAGCATGGGCGACTCTGCAAAACCACCAACCAGGAAGAGGAAACGCACCCCGCGCACCTCCGGCTTTGCCATCAGCTCCTCTGTCGGGACAAAGAAAGAAGGAAGAGCTTTAATATCACGTTCACTTAATTGGGTTGAATGTTCATGCGAGATGTTAGGGAGGAAAATAAATGAATAAAGAAAAGAAGGAACTGGAGGAGAGGGAATCTTGGAAGTGTCATGGGGGAATATTGATTACACTTGGCATTTCTTCAATTTCATGCATGTAGAGCCCATTCATGTCTTGCAAAGCGTAATGCTACAAAACCAGTGCCTCATGTTTTTAGTGTACCACTGGAATGTGACTGATTTAAAACAGGCACTTTGTCTGCCTTCATTCTGTCCTGACAAGGCTGAAAAACAATGAGGTCACCATCAGCTAGAATAAGGATACTAAGGAAGCCATTATGCCTAAAGTTTGTTTTGTTTGGTCTGAGCCGTACTTGAAAAGTGCACTCTGTTGTTTTTTTGTCCTTTTGTACCATTTACACTCGCAATGTCCATTCACAAGCAAGCTCAAATGTGTAATCTACGTGACACAGACTCACAAGTAGCTCACGTAATGGACAGTTTTGGCAGCTTGTCATCCTGTGAGGTCAGAGGTTTGGGCAATGTGAGAGTCAAAACAAACCCATTTCCCAGATATGCAAGTTAAAGCTGCACTAATGAAAATGTTATATTAACAATGGATCAAATGATTGTGTGGAATGTAAGAGGAGTTGGTTTACCAAGCTTCTGAGCCTCTTTGAGCTCATTGTTTTATTGCCTGCGACTTTACTGTTTTGATTTAGTCTCACTGTTCTCATCAAGATTGTGTCCAGCAGCATCAGGCAGCTGCAAAAAAAACCCAAAAGTTAGCGACTATATGGTAAACATAGTGGAGCATTAAGCAGCTAAAGAGCCAGATATTATCTGCCTATAAGAGTTGGTGGAGACCAAAACAGAGCTAAAAAGGACAGAGAATATTTGGACTTGACGTTTTCAGATTGTTGGAAACACGACTCCAAATTAATGCTAGTGTTGCTCTGTATCTACTGGAACTGTAAACAAGCAACTGTTTCCTAACAAGTAAGTTATGTCAACTTTAAAATGTGATAATATGTCAACAAAAGGTGGGTTCTGCCCCCAAGTGGCCAAAAAATAAAACACAACAAAAAAGAGTTAGAGTGGAGTTGCCATTTTCAGGTATCTCTGTATTTTTTACTAATTGCTGTATGTATGAATCTGTCTGCGTGTCAGTGTGTGTGCGTGTGCAACCCTGCAGTCTGTCTTTGTGTTTCTCACCAATGTGTTTGACAATATTGATGATGGTGGGCTGGAAGAGCTCATTCATGGCTTCCTGTGTCAGCCTCAGCATCCCCTGGGACGACCACTTCACTATGTTCATACTGGCACACAGGAGAGAGTTTAAATGTTACATGTTACGGACACACTAAATCAATCCATTGTTAAATCAGACCGCTCACATACTTATCCCTCTCTTATACACACACATACACATACACATACACACACTCCACTCCCAGCCCTCACTCACTTGCTCCTCCTCAGTGCGGCCTCCACACTCTGCCCTCTGTGTCTCTTGTAGAAGTCGATGAAAGAGAAGGGCAGGGAGATGTTGAGGGCGTTGGCCCTGCCCGGCGCCGCCGTCCGTTTCCTAGCCTCAAATGCAATGGTGAGGTCCACCCAGGCCGCCGGCCGCTTGGCTTTGAAGCTCTGGATGAAGTCCTCGCCAAAGATCTGGCACAGCATGGCTTCGAAGGCCAAGTCTACTCCGACGGCACCATACGGACCGCCTGGAAGAAAAAAAACCACAGCTGTGGAAACTGTAGGAAATATGGTTGTTTTTGGGTTTCAGCAGTTTGTGAAAGTGTATACCTGAAGCTTTGTAGAGCTCTTTAAGTGTTCCCTGTGGCTGCTCGATCTGATGGACTGTCAGGTCAACTGTTCCTCCTCCACAGTCTGCAACAATATACCTGTCACCTACACAAAGAGTGCACAAACACACACGCATTTTCAAAAAAATCTGTTATTTTTCAGAGAAAAGAAAAACCTGCTTATCAGTTTGATTTCAGGGCCAGAAAATATTTTACACAGAACTATAAGGGCATGATGATCCTCCTGAATTTGTAGGAGGATGATAATGTGTCTTAATTTCTGTGGAATGTCTAAATGTTGTGTGTGTGTGTGTGTGTGTGTCTGTGTGTGTCTGTGTGTTTCCCCTGAAACTCTTCAACCAGTGGACCCTCAAACATAAACAACCTCCAGACCTCTGCGATTGCTGCGAGTGTGCATTTGTGTGCATGTTGATGATGTGTTCAGCGATAAGAGCTGGTTTTGGCATAGTTGACCCCGAGCTGAGTTGACCACGCCCTAACCAGAAGAGTAGAGTTGCGTGTTAGGAAGAGACAGTGCGAGCAACAAAAAAGAACATAAATGAAAAATGGAGGGACTGATGAGAGAAGAAAATGCAGCAGGAGGAGGATAAAACAAGGTTTCTTCTCCTTTGGTTTATTTACAGTGCAGAGGCAAAGAGTCCCATGGGCTGGGTCCTTCCTGTGTGTGCACAGGAAAGGGAGCAGAAGGGGTCAGCAGGGGCGCGTGGCTCCTCAGATTGTTGTCATGGCTCAACAGAAAGAAAAGGCTGTGTGTAAAACTGGAGAACTGGGTGAGTTTGATTGTCCCTAGTAGGATTTAGTCATCCCATGGCAAACTCCACAGTGTGGTTTGTACATTTGGTGGTTGTGAACAGCTGTGTTTGGTAGTTTAAAGTGACAGGGTACAAACCAGTTTATTCTTGGTCCTTTCAAAAGAGATTTGTATTCGTATAATATTTCAACCCTGGTCTTTAAAATTATAAACGTTCTTGAAATGATGACTTTATTCTTGTAACAGTTAGACTCTTTTCTTCAAAATATTACTTTTTTCTTTGAAATATCAGATCCCTTGCCAGATCCAAACCGGGGACGTTTTTTTAATACACCACTTTAAACAGGTCCTGCAAACAGAACTGCAGATATAGCAGATAATAGGTGGAAACAGCAACCACGCTGAACTGAAAAAGAGCAAAGTGAATGCAGAAGGAGGTGATGAAATGCAGGAAGGAAAAGTCAAATTCTGAGGATTTAGAAGTACAAAGTAGGTGTTTTTCCTTCTCTGCTGGGGTTAAATGTCAAAATCATCAATATCTCCGACATGTGGGGTCTGTCTGTCCCTCTAAAAAAACACACACACACACACACTCACACACACACACGTCTTACCAGTCTGTAGCTCTGACCACAGCTCTCCGGTTCCACTCTCCACTAGGAAGGTCCTGCTGTGTCTGGATCGCCTCAACTGCTCCCTCGCTGCAATAAACACACACACAAAGCTAAATACACACAGGTACTCAACATACTTAAGGTTATATAGCTTTGGTATCTGGATACAATCTCTTGCACACGCACACCGTTAAATCAGTTCAAAAACTCACAGTGAGGCAAGATAATGGTGCCTATGTATAGACAGGAAACTACGGAAGTCGAGAATGGCCTTGCTTGCAATTATTTTTTTGTTTAATATCATAATCTTAAGGTCACCAGTTTCTCAAGATAACGAGGAAACAACTTTTGTTATCTCGAGATCACGAGATAATTGTGGAGAATTCGAAAATGAGTGTCCACCTGATTTCGGCCTTCAAGTTCACTCTCATGACTATCGGGGAGGATTCATAGCTGAACTGAAAATAGTTAACTCTGAGAGTTAATTAATTTCTTGGCAATGTGATGAAATACTGACAAAATACATCAGGAGAAGATTGATGCTCATTAATTAATATAAATGATCTCAAAGATCCCTGTAATGTGATGATTCTTTTCATTCACTTTTTTCTGGCTGCTGCTTAATTTTGGTAATGAGGACTATGAATACAAACTGCCACGCTGCATATCATTCCTTCATGCATTGTGTTGAACCAATGCTATATCTGTAATAGGCCATCTATGAATGCTAGCACGGCACTCCTGATCTCTGATAAACATAAACAGGAAAAAAACGTTTTGTTTCCCCATGATAACCGGAACCACAAAGCTTGTTTTCTCGATATAACAAAATAATTAACTTCAAGATAACAGCATAAAAAAAAAAACTGCAAACAGGGCTGTTTTTGGCTTCCGTAGAAAACATGGGGATTTTTTACCTTAAGTTTAATTGTTGAGAAAATGAGTAGTCATGATGCTGTGCCGATACAGTGAGCTACAACAAATTTGATAATATAAAACAGAAAAAGAAAGAAGTTAAATGTTTATTTAAATGACAATCTCACCTTAACATTAACATTAACATTCAGGTGATTTTTTATTTTTAAGATTTTTTTTCACTTTTCAAAAATATGCTTGTTCTCTATCTTTCTCAGAGTGTGATAAGAAGGTCCAGTGTGTGGGTGCCTGGTTAGCTCAGTTGGTAGAGCTGGTGACCCATATACTGAGTTGCTGCAGTGGCCCAGGGTTTGAANNGTGGCCCTTTGCTGCATTTCATCCCCTCTCTCTCTACCCCCCTTTCCTGTCTATCTTTGGCCAAAAAAAATAACTTAAAAAAAAAAAAGAAGGTCCAGTGTGTATCATTTAGGAGGATCTTCCGCCAGAAATGCAATATAATATTCATATAATCACCTGAAAATAAGAATTGTTGTGTCACCTGAGAATGAGCTGTTTTTATCAACAGAGGGAGCAGGTCCTCTTCGACGGAGGCCGCCATCTGGAAGCACCATGTGTCTATAGTAGCCCAGAAAGGACAAACCCAACACTGGCAAGTGACAGGGCCTTTCATGATTTTTGTTTTTTGGCCACCATAATTTCTCCTACACGTTTGGTTGAGGTGAGTGGTTTCATTTACTTGCAATCTGCAACTTCACCACTAGATACCACTAAATCTTACATACTGGACCTTTAAGCTAAATGGCTTTACTGCAATATTTTCTATTCAAACTAAAAATTTTAAATCAAGTTAGTGTACAGTGAAAAAGTGCGTCCATCTTTCTGCTTCAGGGGCATAGCAAAGATTTCTGGGTCCCATTTCTTGTTTTCTAAACAAAAAAATCAACT